GCCTTGAGATAATCTTTAAATCTTAGACCAAAAATATATCCAGAATTTATCTTAAGAAAAACAAAAATCCCAATCAGATTAACTAGCATAAAAATGGTCAGCCTTAAGCTTTGTCTTCTTTTAAGAACTATTTGAGATCAAATTGACAATAATATCTCAAAAGATTAGACAGGAACTTTAGGATTCTTTGCATTTATGTTGATAGAAGAGAAATAACCTAGAAAAGAAGGGTGAGAAAAATTATGCAACTTGAAGAATTTAATCAAAATCCAGAAAGAGCGCAAGTAGAAACTGTTGATGAATCACATGTTTTGCCGTGAATATTCTCGACAGCAAAATAAGTCAAGTTTAAGGGAGGAAAAAGACAGAAAGAAAAAACAACCTGAGCAAATATAGCAGAACTTTAAACACTGCTTATATCTGGGTTAGGAAAGTGTCTGAGGGGTTGTTAAAACATTCAGTGCATTTCTGTATATTTGTAATATTTCTCACAAAAAGCCTCGAAGATTCCCTGTTAAGAGAATGACTTTTTTAGACAGAATTATTATTGATGCTTTCCCCCCTCATCTCTACCTTTCTTTTCCATACTAAATTCCCTGACACTTTGTCTATTATTTTTGCAATAAAAATAAAAACAGATTGCTTTAAAGTGAGACAAAACTAACTCTAGATTTAAAAAGAGCAACACTTATAATAGTAGATTTGGGGGAAATCAGGAGCAATATTCCTGGAAGAAATTTCCAAATTTAGCATGCACCTCAGGGTTACCATAATGTCATTCATTATGGTCTGACTCTTTATTTCTTTCAACCCTATTATTTCTGTGTTAGTCTAAGTGTGTTCTATTGTACATAGGGTTTTCGAAGGCCTGTAATTTTGGAAGGGGATAGCCAATCCTTCTTCCTAGTCTGTCTCAATTTTTAAATATATATAATAGTATCTGACAGACAAGCATTCTACAGAAAAGAGCAGATGAAAGACATTTACCAGTTAGAAAGACCAATATTTAGTGTTGCTGCCCACCCGGCTACATGTTTGGTTGGTTTTTTTGTTTTGTGGTTGTTTTGTTTTGGGTTTTGTGGGTTTTTTTTTAAATCCACCCTTTCCCTACTCTACCACCAACCCTTCCTTCCTACTTTTACCTACAACATTCAACATCCGTCTCCCATTGAACAGCCCCTGATGTGATGGCCTACATCTCAAACAATCAGGATTTCTTTGATTCTGACCATATCATGCTGCTGTCAGTCTCTTATGAAGCAGTCAGTATGACTTCAATTTAAAGTTGTTAAGGTTTCACAAGTGGCAGACCTTTGGAATCACAAGATTTGGAAAAGAAAGGTCTGCCTTTTGTTTTTAAATAGGAAAATCTAAATTAATATAGACTCATTCTTCTGTTACATAGAACATATGCAAAGTCTAGCACAGTCATTCTATTTAATACACATTACACTCCACTAAACTACACATAACCACCAGAAAACTTTGTAGACAGAATTTTATCTGGTGGGAAAGAAGGAAGTATGCATAAAGTATGTCCTTTGGGCAAAGAATTTATTAGAATAATAGTCATGCAAATGATACCATTAAGGCCTCCAACTTAAAAAGCTCAGAAAAAAAAAAGAAACATGAATATTGAAGTGAGAGACATAAAAATTACAGTATTTTTTTCCCCTATATTACAAAAATTCTTGAAGTACTAGAAAAATGAAGAAGTTTGTCAGCTCAGTTTCAGTGCAGTTTGAAATGAATGGAAATCTGTCGGCCTGAATTGCCACTGTTAAGAGAGTGTGGGTGAAAAGACTTGCTGTGGCTTGGGCTTTTATTATTAATGGGCAAATCCTCAAATCATAAAACGGCTCTTATTCATCTGTTATCCAGCATTCTAATTTCACAGGTGGCAGTCTTGGCTTTATAACAAAGACTTTGTTTTGACAGAAAAAATTTGAATGCTGTGCTTCATCCCATTAAGTCATCCATTTAGTAGGGCTAAAACCAAAATTAAGTTCGCTGCCAAGGAGTCAAGCCCAACTCAGAACAACTTTCCAGTGCTTCCTGGTGCTGTAAATCTTTATGAGCTGGGCCTGCCCATCTTTCTCCAGCATAGACGTCTGGTGGACTCAAAAGGCCAACCTTTCAATTTTCAGTCTGATGTTACACACTTCGCTACTTAGGGCACTTTGAGCAGAAGGATTAGGACATACAATACAATGAAAACATCCCTATATTTAATTTCTCCATACTTCATCAAGTCTTTAAGCAAAGAGTTCAACCTCCAGGAACACTGTGTGTGATAATGTCCACAAATGAGCTCTTCCAAAGAGTCTGGTGTTGGTTGCAAAGTACAAAGGCCCTAGTTTCCTCAAGTATTACAAAGAAAAAGCTGTGTTGCTTTTGGTCAAGAAAAAGGATTGGTTTTCTTCAGATTTTTAAAATAGAAATTATTCAAATATTTATTAACAATAAACAAATCATATTATATCCATATATTATTAATTTAATTGTGTCCAAAAAAAATATGTATTGGAGTCCTGGTTCCTAAACCTTGGGAGATAATCATTTATGGAAATATGGTTTTCTTTGTGATGTTCATACAGCCCTTTAAGTGTCCAATTAATTGCTGATCTAAACATAACTTGCTGTGCTGCTCACTGAAAGGTCAGAGACTTGAATTCACCAGACTATCCTTGGGAGAAAGATGGGTTGTTTCTGTCTTTGAAGATTTACTGTTTTGGAAACCTCATGCAAGGTTGCTATGAATGAGAATACACTCTATGGGTGTTGTTATCAGTACATCCTCTTGGGAGGAAGTCACTGGAAATGTATAAGATATGGGGGAAATGGCTTAGTTATATGAACAAATTCCAAGTCTCTGATTAGGATAAAATGATGAAAGAGATTGGAGGAAAAATCCATATGGTAAGAATGCGGTGGCTGACGCATACAGCTCATAGATCATAGAGCAACTGATGGATCAGGACTCAATGGATTTTGAGGAAGAAACAAATGCTGGAGAAGAAATAATAAAAAAGAAGGAGGCAAGAAATAATTTTTTAAAAAGAAAATAATTATATTTTATTTTAAAAAAAGAATACCTGAAATATGTCTTAAGTCAAGGACTATCTATAAGACCTAAGTATTGCAAACACATTAATTGTTTGAAAATATTATTTCTTTGTTGGTCATGAAATACAATATTTTTCTCAAGTTTCATTTATGAATGTGAAGATAATTTAGAGGTATAAACAAATGTTCCTTGTCTGAGCTCACTGAAAAATGGATTTCATGTGCTGTAAACTTTAATTCACAGATTCTAATACTTGATAGATTATTTTGGGCCTGCACACTATTTAGAAGCATCTCCCTGATTGTGCTCAATATTAATTTCTAAAATTCTGATAAATAGTTGCCACATTTCACATGAAATAAAGCTTGAAGTGGAGAGGAGGAGGGTCACCTAAGGATAAGTCCAACACGATAAACCTCAAAAGTGTTATTTAAGCTAAGTAAGTCAATAAACTACTTTATCTGAAGTGTTAAAAATACAGACCAGAGATTACTATGGAAAGAGGAGGTTAACTGCACAGGGCCACAAAGCCACTGGTGAATGAGGTCTTCCATGCTGTGGTACAGCTACACAACTGTACACATTTGTCAAAACTCATTAATTTCTACACCAAAAATCAGTAAATTTATTGTCTGTAATTTATACACTAAGAAAACTGGGTTTGGTTTTGTTTTCTTCTGTTTTAAATAGAAGTTCAAAAGACAATGGAAGATCCAGACTAACTTGCTGTTGTTGTTGTTGTTGTTATTATGTGCCATCAAGGTGACCATTATTCATAGCAACCCTATCTATCTATACACAATAGCTCTGAACCTTGCTCTATCCTGGGCTAATCTTTCTGTCTCTGACACATTTACCCTCATTACCCCAGTTATTGTGTCAATCCACCTTATCCTGGGTTTTCCCCTCCTGTGCTGTCCCTCCACACTTCTAGGTATGATGCCTTTCTCCAAGAACTAGTACCTCCTGGAAACATGTCCAGAGTATGTGGGAATATGCCTCAAAATCCTTGCCTCCAAGGAACAGCTTGGCTTTACTCTTTCCAGGTCAGACCTGTTAGTTTTCTTGGCAGTCCATAGTATGTTCAATACTATTCTCCAGCACCACAACACCAAGGCATCAATTCTTCTTCGGTCCTTTTTGCTTATTGTTCAGGTCTCTGAGGTGTAACACATAACTGTGAAGAACATGGCCTGGAATGGGCGCACCTCAGTCTCTAGACAGACATTGTTTCCCTTTAGCACTCTGGAGAGGTCTCTGACAGCAGATTTTAATAATGCAATTTATCTTTTGATTTCCTGACTGCTGGTGCCAAAAGCCTTGATTGTGGAACTAAGCAAACTGAAATTATTAACAATCTCAATCTCTTCTCCATCAATCAAGATGCTGCCAGTTGGCCCAGTGGTGAGAATTTGTTTTCTTGATATTGAGTTTCAATCCACAGTGCAGACTACAGTCTTTGACCCTCTGCAGCAAATGCTTCAGGTTCTCCTCAGTTTCATCAAGAAAGGCTGTATCATCTGCATAATGCAGGCTGTTAATGAATCTTCCTCCAATCCCAAAATCACATTTATCTGTTCCACATATAGACTGAAAATATTTGGAGACAAGAAGTATCCTTCACACACTCCTTTCTTGATTTTGAACCATGCCATGTTTCCTTGCTCTGTTCTAGTGCTTGAAAAAAGTTAAGAATATTTCTTTTTCCAAAACTGCTGATTCTTCTATTGATCCCTATTTCAGCAGTGACCTTCAGCTTCCATATAGAGAAGGCCTCACAGGAAATCAACTAGACTTGAGCTAAATACAATGTGTTCTTTCATGTCTTTCATTCTGCAACACGTAAACCATGAGTAGAGTTTGAAAAGTTTTTCTAATTTTACCTACCTATATTGTGTTTCATAAATAAAATGACTTGAGACAATCAGGTTACCTCGTGTTTCAACAGCGTTGATGCATTTTCTGAGAATTGTGAATCCCATTTTATCCAACTGTGCACCTAAAAGCAATACAAAGGGATGTGTTAAAAGCACAATTAATTACTCATATTTGTCTTCTTTACTGGGGCACAATATTATTGTCTACAAAGCTTGTATAACATTAATTATATATTTCAATAAAATAGAAGAAGCTAAAGTCTAAGGATTCCCTGTTGAAGTGATAAAAATGGAAATTTCCTATATTTAGACTAAGGGAATTTGCTGATATATCAGAATATCTGTTACCTATAATTTCTAATTAAATTTGTATTTTAAAACAATAAATAGATTTAAACAGTAAAAAAGAAAGTGATATAAATCTTTTAATGGATGCTTCCTAGAAATAACCAAGACACATTTTGTCACCAGCAACCTGGTTAAAAAAATGATACAAACAAAAATGAAGGTTTTTAAATTACTTGAAATTCTGATAAAAAATACAAACCATGTTTTCTTAAAACCTAGAAATTTTGTTTTTTTAAAATGGGCTTTAAAAAAAATAGGCTTTTAAAATCTATTTCTTTGGCCATGAACTTGAGTTAAAATTTTCCTATGTTCTAGACTTTTCAAAATAATATTTTATTGTTTTAATAATGAATTTAAAACAGATGATTCATATAGCCAAACAGACTATTTTGAAAATATAATTCTGTACTTTTTCTAATATAGATGCTTGCCTGTGATTAATCTGGCACATTTGCATATCCTAATAAAAGACAAGTGATGTTTCAAAAATTCAATCAGAAGCACAATATCTTTGGTTTCTCTTCTCTGTACAACTTGAGATCAGTAATAATAGTTCTTTGGCTCTCAGAAGGGATAACACGAACAATCCATGAATATAAACACCACAGGTTTTCCATAATGTTAAGCTTGAGGAAAATCTCAAATTGAGCCATAGTTTACTGTTCAAAGATCTACTATCCACAAAACTTTATAAAATCCAAACGTTTCCATGTGCTTAGCAAGCCTGTGTGGGTCCCCCCCCCACCCCCAGAAATGAATGTTTTAATTTCTCTGTAAGGAAATAAAGGTGAGAAAAGGACAAGATGGAAAGGGGGGAGGAATGAAGAGAAGAGAAAGTGACAGTGGAAGCAGAAAGATGCTTTGATGATTCCCCTTCTCTTCAGGTACCCTATCAACCTCCAGGGCCAGCCAAGAAAAAATGTCTTTTTCAACCACTGGGCAAGTGATACGCACATTACAACCATTATGAAAGGTGTTCTATGTTTTCAAACTGTAGACATTTGCTAAATTTAACCTTCATTTCCCCCAAGACATCAAAATTAAATCTGTACAGAATCTAGCAAATCAGATCACATTTCTACTTTATCTCAGTATAAATCATGAGTACAAAAGTAGGTGGTACTTTATGGTCCTTTAATACACATAATGTTTCCTTTCATGAATATAATGTATCTGATTTAATGTCCACAAAGTGAAGGGCTTCTCTTGGAATATTTTAATACATCGGCTATAATTTGTTGGTCTTATCTTCAAATGCAATGACATATCATGTGTATGGTTCATACTCAAAGACAACAAGGATATTAAAGGAAAGGCTAATAAAAGAGTCACAGGAGTCTCTCCACTTAAGACAGGAAGTTAAAGGCAGTATACGTGAAATTCATAAATGATCATTTAGGGCTTTACAAATAAATATCAAAGTGAACAGCAGGAAAAGCATTGACCAATAATGATTTACAGATTAGAAAGTTCAATAAGAATTGCAGTAATACAGGAAAATCTTAACGAATTCCCAACAAATAATTGTCAAGAGTATGAGACGTGATACAGGCAGCAACAACTGGCTATCAATATTGAGCCAAGAGTAAGGAGTTTCTTTTGGTTTGGGGTTGGTTTGGTGTTTTGTTTTTGTTTTTTGTTTTTTTTTACTTTTTTTTCTTCTTATTTTAAAAAATATAGAAGAAGACAGTCACTTTATAAATTAAACTTACTTCCTTCCGGTCTTGGGAGAGCTCTATTAAAATTATGGAAGAGCTGGAAAAGGAGAGAATAGGAAAAGTTAATACTTTTGCCAACAAATCAATAAAAACTATTCAAGTGGCCACACCTAGGAACAGGCAAAAAATAGATATTCATAAACTTGATGCTGGTGAATGACATGCTATCCTTCTCTCAGATGGTAAGATTTTAAAAAAAAAAGAGGGGGAACATCTCTAAATCTACTTATTTCCTCATCTCTACTGAGGTAAGGAAGGTAAGCAAAATGATACACTGTCCCTGGTTTTCCAATAGTTCTTTGGTTTTACTAATCCGTGGTGCACTGACAAAGAAATTGTTGCATTCTAATGGATAAGGTAAAGTTCCTTTTCTCCAGTATTTCTACAGTGTCTGGTTATTAACTGAAAGACCAGTTGTTCAAACCCATCAGCTGATCTGTGGGGGGAAGGTGGGCAGTCTCTTCCTTGAAATATTTGAAGCTCTGTAAAGGTGATGGAGGGATGTTATGAGTGAGACTCAACTAGATGGCAATGGTTTTTTTATTTAAATAGAGATGACCCCTGGCCATAACTTAAGAAACTAAATCTGAGATACCATAGTAACAACTCTAATACAGACCTAAAATTTAAAAGGCAAAAGATACAACAACCTTAAGTGCCCTCACATAAATGTATAGTAAAATATTTTCCTTCTGAAGATTTTATTTTGTCTGTATATCACCTGAGCAAATCCTATTTCCTTTCCAATATATGGTCATATTCTAATTTTTCTATGCAAATTCATTTTCCAAAGCACTTCTTAATTCTCTAAAGAGAGAGACATCTTAGCTGGTGATCCAACAGAGGATTAGTATAACCCAATTTGGATCCCAGAACCATTAAGACTCAAAGTAGTTTTGACTCGCAGGTAAAAAATGCAAAGGCAAATTAAGAATAAATTTCAATAAAACTAAAAAGGTTAAATGTGAATCAAATATCAAATATAGATCTTATTATTAATTGTTTTCTCTAAGGATGACACATTCCTTTATATATAATAAAAAAATATAATTTTAATTTTTTTAAGTATCAAATCGAACTGGCAACATGCATTGTTGCCCAGCCTACTTGAGCACCATTTCCTGTACTCTCACTGTCTGACCAAAATTAATGTTTGAATGAATTGGTAAACAGACTGCATTTCTACTCTTTTGCATCTTTATCATTTGCCTTTAACTTATTCTTAGAACCAACCTGAATACAGAGACCCATTTGTGACATAATTTGGCATACCATAGGCCACCATTAAACTAAACTACAAATTGTTAAATCAAGCAAAGTAATTTTAGCCGCCATCTATACCATTGCCTTTATCACCTCATATTTACTGATTTATCTCCAAAAAGGTCAAAACGTATTACAAGCATCTTTTGCATTTATCACCCAAAATACTGTTGGGTTGGAAAGAAGAAACTGAGAATTTAGATAGCTTCCTTGAACAAAGAAATCAGAGTGTTATAGTCAAGAGAAAATAAAAAATAAAATTAATGATACACCAATCTTAGATAAGTTCCTGAATACTGAATGCTACCAATGAATTAAAATACCAGTTAAAGAAAGAAGTATAGTATTATTGTTGTTGTTGTTAAATGTCATCGAGTTGTAGATGACTCATAGTGACCCAATGAACGAAAGACCTGAACACTTGTATAACTTTGGTTGTTTCTCCAGGTTCATAGAATTTCTGGAAGCAAGCCATTTCAGAAGTGGATGCCACTCCTGCTTCCAAGCTTATTTTAATTGGGAAGCTCCACCAAACACTGTCCACCATAACCATTATTGCATTTGGCACATCAGTGTCACAGTGTTCAGCATCACAGCAACCACGAGTTCCCTCTGTACAGCAGTGCACAGACCAGGGCTATACCACTTAGAAGAATGTTTGACCAAAACCAATTTAAACCAGGCCTGAGGGCCGCAGATTAAAATCACCCACCTTGGGCTTGGTAGCATAACTTTCTGTCCACTAGGCCAATAGAGCTCTCTCTATGTTGTCGTTGTTATTGTTGTTAAGTGCCGTCGAGTCATAGACGACTCATAGTGACCTTATGAATGAAAGACCTGAACACTTGTTTAACTCTGGTTGCTTCTCCACATTCATAGAGCTTCTGGAGGCAAGCCATTTCGGAAGTGGATGACACTCCTACTTCCAAACTTGTTTTAATCGGGAAGCTCCACCAAACACTGTCCACCATGGGTAACCATTATTGCATTTGATACATCAGTGTCACAGTGTGTATAGTATAAGATATATTTATATATATTTGAAGTATGCCAACAAATCAGAACCAACTCATAGCTGACCTTCTAGCAGGTGTAGACGCAGTAAATCGCAAGGAGGTGGATGTCCATCCTTCTCCTGCAGAGCTAGTGGATTTAAATCTTGTACCTTTGGGACTGTAGCACAGTTTCTTAATGCTAGGACACCAGAGCTTCATCTGTATAAGCGTATGTGTTTGTGTATGTATGTGTGTATATAAACTATACATACAAACAAGCAGAATATACACACCAACAAACTTTCAAAGATTTAAAATAAAAATTCAACCACAGATTCTTACAGCTTCTTTTCCACCTAGTGCCTCCATCCATTGCTTCCTTTCCTCTTCTGAAAATGCTTGCATCGTCAAGGAAACACCAGGGCTGCAAAACGACAATAATAGACCAAGTTACCTCGGCCACTAGAAACAAAATTTCCTTCTCTACCACATAAGGTTTTATTGTGGTGACAAAATTTTTGTTTATAAAGAAATGTATGTTTGTTTATTGTTATCCAGAAATGTACAGAGTAAAAAAAATGGAAAGTTATTTCCTCCATCACATTTTTAAGAAGACAACACTGTCAACAATCTGGTGTGTCTCCTTCCTATTGTCTTCGTTTTCTGTCATTTTCAATCCTGAGGACCAAATGTTGGTATTTCTCAGCTTAGTTTATTGATAAATTTGGGGATTTTTGCCTTAGAAATCTTAATACTAGGAGAGAATACAAGGTAGAAAAGTCACAATAATTCTTTATTAACTATGAAAAGGTTCTCAAGTGAAAGAATTTTAAAGTTTGATCAAAAGTATGAGAAAATAATTTTGGGGTTTTTTCCTCGTAAGGAATTAAAAAGCAATGTAGATGCTAAAAAAAAAAAAGAAAACTAGAAACAAAAATAGATGGCTGAAATGGAAACCAAATATTAAATTCCTTTTAATCCTGAATATACTTTTGAAAGTCATCATTCCTATAATAGCACTTCACGCCCTTTTTGACTATTGGATAAATTTTTTTTTCCAACTAAGGCAAGCTGTAAGAATTGACTGTAATTCACTAATCACTACAAGTCTTATAAAATACTTTGAATCTCCAAAAGCACTGTGCCAAATATGAATAAGCAAACAGTCCTCCCAACACTCACTCCCACAGGCATTCTGCTTTCTCCCCACATGATGGTTATAAAGCATAAAAGAATAAACTGCTTGCTTAAAGTTCACAGCAAAAGTAACTCTAAGACAAAATGCATCTGATAGGCTCTTATGCATAACCATTTTCTTCAGCCCACTCCTCAACAACAGAATGACTCTCTAGTGCCCGCTGGAAATGTTCTCACGTTCTCCCTGGCGTTCCCCTCACCCTGGCACGCAGCACTGAGAATGAAGGTTCCACTTCCTCTCGCTCTACTGCTCCCGGCATCCTTTTGGAGCAAGAAACAAGGCAAGGTGCCCAGACAACCAAGCTGTTTTATAAAGTTCCTTGCCTGGGACATGAAGATTTTGGCCCTTATTCTTAGTAACCCACACTGAGCTCAGGGGAATTAAATAAAATTGTGAGAGAAAACTTCAGATGGCACTTTACAGTAGCTAAGTGATAGCACAATATTTACACATGAGGGTCTCAGGTCTGCAGGAATGCTCCATTCTTGTAAGGAAGAAGTATCGAGGTACTTCTTTCAAATTATATTAAACATTTAATGGGTAACTGAGGAGTCCTTAGGATGCAGTGGGTAACAGCTCAGATGGTAATTAAAAGGTTAGTGGTTCAAACTCCTCAGCCACTCTACGGGAGAATGATGTGGCAGCCAGCTCGTGTACATACAGAACATGGCCCAGGAAAGCTACCGGCAGTTCTGTCACATGGCGTGGAGATGAGTCAAATCCAACTCAGCGCCGCCTCACAACTAACAATAACAAACAATATGCATTTAAAGCACAGAAGTATAAAACATAAAGGAAGATATTACTAAACACATTATGAAACACTGACAGCTTTTCTAGTCCAAGAATGGCAAAACTGGCAAAGAAAATAAAATACAAGGGCAAAAATGTCAACTTCCACCACGGGAGGAAAAAATCAGGGTTTAAAAATACTTAATTCAATAAGCCCTGAGTGTTTGTCTGCTAAGCTGGAAGTTTTTACAAGTCAATAAATACTAATTGTATAACTACCTTGTGCCAAGCACTGAGCTGGGAAATACACATAGCCCACAGAGAACTTAGAATCTAGCAGAAAAGCCCAAAGCTGAACAGGTTACAAATAATATATCAGTTACAATTAAAGAAGTAAGATAGCGAGCTGTAAATAAGTGAAGCCAGCTATGCGAGGGAAAGGGAGCAACGAGAATAGTAATAATCAGAAGATGCACGTCCAAAAATTCAATATTCTTCCAATATGTTCAATCACTGTGATAAAAAAGATTTGTTTGGGGGCTAATCCAGCCACCAGTGTCAGTGAGCAACTTCTACATTTCAAAGTGTGATACAAGTATGGAACAGGAAAATATGACCTAGGAGATGGGGTTCTCTAGCGAAGGAAGATTTCAGGTGAGGGTATAAAGATGGGTTAGTATTATAGGCAGAGAAGGCTCACGGGAACAAAAAGAATACATTTCAGAGAACTGGAATCTGTCTCTCACCACTGGGCCCACAAGCCAAGTGGAAAATGTATAGACAGGAGGAAGCTGCCTGGTCACACAAGTTCTCACTGGTCATTCTAAGGATTTCGTTTATTCTCAGTGCCACTGAAAGTTTGTAGTAAGGAATTAACATTATCAGTGCAGCACTGTACATGATCATTCTGTTTTCTGGGTGAAAAGGGAAAAGAGCGGCAGGAGCTAGACGTATAATGTTAAAAGACTAGAAATATGACACAGCACAGTGAAAATGAACAGACCACAGTAAAAATGAATAGACTTGAGAAATAATCAAAACTTGCCTCTCAATGGGGATGTTCATACCCGACCTTTACAAACTCCACAAAGGGAACTCTTCCTATCAACAATGTCCACCACACAAAACCAATTCCTACAAGGTCAGACATATTCCTGGCACCCCCACACCCCTTTGTACTCATCCCAACACTAACTTTACTGTTCTACAGGGTTTAAAATCCATTGTGATAGTTCACAGACCACAAAATCTGGGAAGTAAAAAAGCTAAAGTTGGTGGAAGATACAAGGACAGCTTGCAAAATGTGCTCACAAGCACCACAGCCTTCAGCCTCTTGGCTTTAGGCAAGTGTTACAAAGACTTTAGTCCTACCAATTATGACCCTTTCTCCAAGTCCTAAACAAACAAACAAACAAACAAACAAAAACCAACCAAAAACTTGGGCAAAAGGCTCAGCTCTGGTTCCACAGGGCAGCAGTCCCAAGGTCAACTCCATCTCCTGCCAGGTCTCTGGTTCTCTGCTTCAGTTGCTTCTGCTCTCTTGTGTATCTGGCTGGCACAAGAATCTCTAGCTGCAAAGAGTGCACACTGTATGCCCGCTTCTTCTCTGCTGGTAGTGAGATTCTCAAATTATGCTGCTGGACTTCCTCAATTAAACAACGAGGCTAACCAATCTCTTTGTGAATAAGCTAATATAACCTATATGCATATTCTCATCTGTCCAAAGTCAAAGTCAATTGCTGGAAATGTAATTTTGAACAATAAATCTTTAACACCACAGCCTATAACATACTTTTTTTTTGGGGGGGGGGGAAGAGAGCTATTGCTCCAAGAATAAAAGACATATGTATAATACAGAATTGAAAACTAGTAGAGCCTCAATGAAAGTCAACACAATTACAGATATAAAAACTTTTTTAAAAACCCACAAAAGTGACCTTGAATGTGATTCTTATATTCTCTTGTAATGCTATAGTTATAAATTAGAATTATAAGTGCCAAAGGAGTAAAAACAACAACTGTTATGCCTGTCATATTACATCAGTATAAAAATCCCGCAGAGTATAAAAACAAACAAACAAAAAATATCAGCAACCTCATTGCTGTTGTGTGTCATTGTGTGGACTACGACTCATAGCACAAAAGCTCTGAACCCTGCTCTATCCTGAGTCAGTCTCACTGTCTAGAATATACCTATCCTCACTACCCCAGTTAGTGTGTCACCCCATCTCATCTGGAGTGTCTTTCTCCATTGCTTCTGTAATAATCAATTATGAGAAAATTACTAGGCAAAATTGAGGCATCAAGGGAATTGGATACATTTCGAAGTACAGTTTTAATAGCATGTCTTTGTTAAACTACACTGTAAACATGCTGTAGTTTGGGAAGAGATACGTGTTATTAATAAAATTTAAAGGGCAGCATGGTGAATACGAGTTTGGCCAAATACAGAAATTTTTACAACTATGTGCTAGATTATCATAATAGTTGTACATAGGGTCGCTATGAGTCGCAGGCGACTCGACGACACATAACAACAACAACAACAATGTGCTAGATTAGTCATATTTACATAAAGAAAGAACAATTATATTCTTTTTTCTTTTTCTGAGATTTTCAAATTCATTTTAAAAATTTTTGAGTGAAAGTTTACAAAGTTAGATTCATTTTTCATTTAACTATTTATGCACGTTTTGTTCTATATTATTAATTACAATGCTCACAATGTAACCACACTTTCCCTACTTTCTCAAGAAACAGTTCTAATATTCATCTCATAGAGAAGCTTAGCTAACAACATTACTGAGTCCATTGAAGCTAGAATTGGAACAGGAATGGGGAAAATTCAGATTTGATTTTCTTGTTGTTGTTCTTGTAGCCAATATAGCTGCAATTCACCACACTGGTTCAGTCAAGGATGTAGTCATTCTATTACACAGCTACCAATTCATTTCAACCAAACTAACTTTTGAGTACCCACTACATATCACACACTGAGTTCAATTCTGACGAATTTACCTCTATCATAAGAGATTGTTGCTGTTGTTGTTGATTGCCATTGAGTCACTCATGAAGAAAAGAGTCCTTATGAACAACAGACCAGAAGCCTTTCTATTACTATTGTCATTTCCCAAAGTTCAGGAGTTTCAACACATGCTGTTTAGGAAGTGGATGCCACTCCTGCTTCCAAACAAAAGATTATTCTTAGTAAATATAATGGCAACAGTATAAGCTTCATGACCCAGGTTAAAGAACCCAGGTTAAAAAATGAACTTCCCATGACAGTATTTGTTTACTTGTTGTTGTTCTTATGCGTTGTCAAGTCAAACCAACTCATAGCTAACACTCCAACAGGTTTTCAGAGTCTGTAAATTGCACAAGAGAACATCATTCATCTTTATTCCACAGAGCAACTGATAGATTCAAACTGGCTGCCCTTGGGTTAACAGCACAACTCCTTACCCCCTAGGCTAAAAGAGTTTGTTATTTGTTTA